CATCATCATCATCCTTCACCTATCCCCTGACTTTACACCCACGTTTGTCCTCTCTTACACCCGAAGACCACCCCTGCGCCTCACTGTAGTCCGAGCCCACCAGCTATGGTGGCTGGACTATGGCGCTGCCCTCAGCAGCGCCCTTCTTCCCTGCACGACCGCACGTGCTGCACCTCGCCACTCAACGCCAGCCAGCAGCGCTGCCACTAGCATGCGAGTGCCTGAATGAGGCTGCCTGGGGAGAGCTCTTTCCTTTATGGAAAGAGCTGGCCTGCTCGTGCAGCCTGGCTGCACTGGCCTAGGCCCAGAAACTTCCGGAAGGCCCCAGGAGGCTGCCTGTATGCAGCAGCTACTGGGCTGTTGGGCCTCGTTCGGTTGGGCGCCCGACTGTCTCTGTATGAGGCTGCCAATCACGCCCAGGGCCTGCATTCTTTGGAAAAGGCCGGAAGGCCGTGGAAATGTCTTTGTGGCCCGGCCTGAGTTTCTCTCAACCAACTGGCGTGTCGCAATTGCCTGGTGAAATTGACAGTCGAGGGCCTCTGGTGATATGTTAGGCCCGCCTTCACTTAGGGCGGGCAATGCTTCAGCAGGACCCCATAGGCCTACCAAGGACACAGATCCTCGCATTCCCTCCTCCTTTACTTCGTGAGTCCTCTGAGAAGTCTCTTATTCTGCGGCATCTTCCCCTTGAGTGCTCTTTCATAGCCTGCAATCACTTGAGGCGCTGTTCTCATGAGTTCTTCTCGTGTGAACCAGCGATCCTCCTTAGGATCCAGATGGTGTCTGAAGCTCACACGATACTGCATTCTCGGTTTAGGAGGGCGCCCTCTGCCTGACGGTCGAGGAACAGGCATCACTCGATGCTCAACGATCTGGTCCACGTCCACTTCGCTATCCATGGTTGGGGGCAGCATTGATCTTCTGGAGGGAAACTGCTCAGTTGCAGCGAAGGGTGCTAACTTAGAAGCATGGAACACAGGGTAGGTACGCAAGTGAGGTGGGATGCGGATTACGTATGAAGGACCATCTGGTTGATCTCCTACAATGTCTAAGATCTCCCAGGGCCCAAAGTTCTGTGGCATTAGCTTGCGGGATATGCCTAACTACTGACCAAGCTCGACGGACTTAATCCAGACTCTCTCGCCTACCTGAAAGTTTGAAGGCCGTCTATACTTATTCTCAGATGCAATCATTGCTTCTTGAGATTTCTTGATATGTTCCACGGCCTGCTGCAGCATCTGTTCATACTTGACAACAAACTCTATGTCGTCGGGTGCTGCAGTGGATTCTCTTTCTGGTAGCAGAAAGTCAAGGGCAGTTTGTGGCTTCCAACCAAGATGCAGTTGGTTGGGAGTCATGTTTGTGGTACTATGCACAGCGTTATTGTACAGGCTGGCAACGAGAGGTAGTTTCTCATCCCAGTCGTCCTGACTTGGCTTAATATAGTGCCTAAGTAGGTGCTGTACTACTCGGTTCATTTGTTCCGCTTGACCATTTGACTCAGGATGATTACCTGAAGTCATTTGGAGTTTTGTGCCCATTTGCTCAGCAGTAGATTGCCACAGTTCGGTCGTGAATCGTACATCCCTATCACTAACAATAGACGTAGGTAGACCGAAATCCCTTACCCAGTTGTCCATGAAGAGTTTGATGACAAAGTCAGTTTTAGCAGTTTCAGGCATAGCAATTAGTCTTGCATACTTAGTAAAGCGATCCACTATAACAAAGATGTGTCTTTTTCCACACCTGCTGGTCACCAGGGTAACCATGAAATCCATGGACACACTTTGGCCTGGTCGTTCAGGGATCTGCAAGGGCTTGATCAGCCCAAGCGGAGCCTGAGTCCTTGGTTTGTCCCTTTGACAAACCTGGCAGGTTTCAACATAGCGTTTCGCATCTTCCATCATAGAGGGCCACGAGAATCTCTGCACTGAGTTCGCTGATGTCTTTCTATCGCCAAAATGACCAGTTGCATCATGACATTCTCCTAAAAATAAACTACGCAAAGACTCACTATTAGCAACACAGTCTTTTATTCCCTGCCTTCTCGAGAAACAACAAGCCATAAAAAATTGTAAATTTTTAAAGTCTTTTTGTCCTTTGCTTGGAATCTATGGATGATTTCTGACATAACTGGATCTCTCTGATAGGCTTCCACCTGCAATCGAGTGACTAGTGCGCCCAAATAATCTGCCCTCCGTGATAGTGCATCAGCCACTTTGTTATACGTATCCTTGATAGGATCAAGTTGATAGTCATACATGTCTATCACTTGAATCCATCTTTTGAGTGCGTCAGATAGTACAGGCTGTGTCTTAATCCAGCGCAAAGCTTCATGGTCAGACCTCACATAGAAGAATCTTCCTAGGAGGTAGTGTCTCCAATGAGCTAGCGCTCTGCACATGGCGAGATCTCATATGTGGACTTAGCTAACTTCTTAGAAGGCATCTTTTTACTCGTGTACTCGACCGGTCTCAACTTTGGCCCCTCCTGTTGCGCAAGGACCGCACCTATACCATATTGGCTGGCGTCTGTGGTCACAACAAACGGCTTGTTAGGATCTGGAAGCTTGAGAACTTCATAGTGTGTTAGAGCATACTTCATTTTCTTGAAGCTTGCCTCACACTCTTCAGTCCACTCCCAAGGGGTGTCAAGTCGAGTTAGATCTGTTAATGGGGAGGCTACCATACTATAGTTTTTCATCTGTTAATGGGGAGGCTACCATACTATAGTTTTTCACAAAAGGACGGTGATAGCCTGACATCCCCAAGAATGATCTGACCTCAATAACAGTCTGAGGTCTGGGCCAGTCACGTATGCTGGCCACCTTTGCATCTTTCGGCCTCAACCCATTTGTTGAAATCTCATGACCCAGGTACAAGATCTTGGTGCGACCAAACTCGCATTTTTCCAAAATTATCTTGTACTGGTGTTGTCTTAGGAGACCTAGCACTGTATTCAAGTGCTCAGCATGCTCCTCTGCAGTCTTACTAAAGATGAGGATATCATCGAGGTACACGGCGATAAACTTATCTAAGTAATCATGAAAAATCATGTTCATTTCGTGCTGGAACGTGCCAGGAGCATTGCATCACAACAAACTTATACAGACCATACCTGGTCTGAAATGCGGTTTTGTGTTGATCCTCAGGTCTAATAGCAATCTGATGGTATCCAGACTTTAGATCTATCTTAGTAAAGTACCGGCATCCCTGCACTCTATCAAATAGGTCCTCGATGCGGGGTAGGGGTTCTGCGTTTTTAACCGTGATGGCATTGAGACCCCTATAGTCAATGCACATCCTCAAGGTACCTCCCTTCTTTGGTACGAATAGTACTGGAGCGCCATAAGGTGAGGTACTAGGCCGTATCCATCCCTTCTCTGTGAGCTCCTC